GCATTAAATCGCATTAAAATGCATTAAATCGCATTAAAATGCATTAACCCTTTGGCGGCGGGTGTCCCATATATGGAACGGTGACATTTTTCCTTAGATACAGGTATCGAATTGTACTCGAAGTGCAATTTGATACTGGTATCTAAAGAGCTCTTTCTATTATAAAGAGGGAGCCTGGAGATGTTAGAATTTCTGCAGGAGAGACGTACTTCTAGTGTAAAACTTCCATATCTTAGGAAAAACGTCACCGTCCCATATATGGGACACCCGCCGCCAAAGAGTTAAATCGCATTAAAATGCATTAAAATGCATTGAAATGTATTATTTCATATTGAAACGTATTTGAGCATAAAGTATATTGAAAAGCATTGTATCGCATTGGAACAAATTTGAATATATTAAAATACATTGAAATAAATCATGTCACAGTGGAACATTTTTAAAATACATGAAAATCCAACATATCACATAAAAACATATGTGAAAACGAAAAATTGCAGTATATCACGTTAAAATACATTATAGTAAAAGATGTAAAAAAATTAGAACAAGTGGTAAAAAAAATGATAAACTCGTTTGACAAGATAATTCGAGAGGCCTTGCACTATATAATATTAATCATTTCCTTTTTCATCTTTATTGTTTATTTATTTTTCTTCTTCTTCTTCCTTTTATACTAATATTTTTGAAAATTTTTTCCTTCTTTCTCTTTTTTTATTAAAGCTAAAATAAAAACGAAAAAATTATAAAATTGTTCCAAGTCAATATTGTTTCCTGTTGACTTGCTTAATTTATGCAATTAGACAATCGACACAAAAAAAGGATATCGTTATTTATTATATTTTTCTTTTTTCTGAATTATTAGAATTTAGAGAATATACAATTATTAAAAGATTTGCGATAACGTCTAAACTTTGAACAGTCTTATGAATATATCAACGAACGTTAATTTCTTTCTTCACGTATTGGGTAAATCCATGGGAAACGTACCACTTTATACATGACTTTCGCAGAATTGGCTGAAATTTTCAGGGTTTATAGAGCTCAATGAGCTGATCATTTTGGTAATAAATTATTAAAGGTTTGGTTCTGGATTAGGGTTGAAATAGGCAAAATACAGTTTTCAAAAATTCCGGAAAATCATGGCCAAAGTGAAAAGTTCTCATTTTTGCGAGAATATTTTCTCTTTTATTTCAAGAATAAATTGAAACATTCTATGTATATTGTGATAGCCCGTGCTCAGCTCTATCGAACCATATATGATTCAAAATGTTTCCATTTTTTAAGAAAAAATTTTAATTGGACCACAAAATGTTCACTGCAACACAAATTTTCTCTCCTAATAAAAAGCCTCTTCCGAATTTGGGTGAATTGTGGTCTAGTAGGTTTTGTAGAGCATCGAACGCTCTATCTTGTGGCATATAGAGCTTTGCAGCCGGTTTCGGTTTTCGTGCATTAGAGAATTAAAACTTTTATCTACTGCTGTTTTCTGAAGGTTTCAGTTCATATTTCTGAACTTTTCAAAAGAAAGACTCAATAAAATAAGCTGAAACTTTAAATTCAGAGGAATCGTGATTATTAGAATAGGAATCATAAAAAATTTTCTTGACATTGTCTTCTCTTTCATATCATTCTACGATAGTAAAATGTCACAATTCATGTTTGAACTCTTAATTGTTCAAATTTATCGCTTTCCATAGAAAATAGAGTAATATCATATTGAGATAAGATAGGTATCTCATAGAAGTACTTACTTATTTTGAAAGATTTCGTTCACCTTCATCTCAACAATTTAGCTTCGATTTTTTTCGAACAGTTGAGTGCAGTCGTACATCAGAATCTAACACAAGTCAAATATACCACTTATAATTGATCTCTTCCTCATGGCTTCTACTTTTTCATTTTGTTCCAAATATATTTGAAAAGAAGTTCATATTCATTTTCATAGAATAAATTCTGTTAAAGCTAGTATATTGAAATAAAATCATTAAACATGAATCGATTTACTTTCTGTGAAGCAGGTTTGATTTAAGGGTTGCTCTCAAGTCCTTTTCTTTTAACATCAGCAAAAAACAATGACAAACAAGAATAATAGAACTAAAGCAAATAAATATATTAATCTCGTGTTAATATTGATATTATTCACAGATCACTAATATTACGATGTAACATTGAGTTTTGTGGAACTCACGTATGTTTTCGAAGAAAATAGTGAGTGAAACTTTTAAGTCAAGATTTGGCGGGTCCCCTCCCCCAACCTCATTACAGACACATAGTAACGTAAAGGAGAACATTACAGACATACGCTCCCTCTCCCCCGTTTACAGACACCCCACCATTACAGATACACCCCCATTACAGACAGGTCACCATTGCAGATCTCAGCAACCATGCATAAAAGACCTTTTATTCTATATAATATATCAAGGATTTCATAAATACTCGAAAGAAACACTATTGTGTAGTTTGAAAATCAGACATCAGGATAGTAAATTTAAAAGATACACGTGAGTTCCATATTTCAGCTCCTTTGGAGCTGTGCTGACAAGGTTTTTTACACATCACTGTTCTAAAACATTCGAGTTAGATTGCTGAAATGGAGTTGAATGAAATCTTTCGAAATAGGTAAGTACTTCTATGAGATACCTATCTTATCTCAATATGATATTACTCTATTTTCTATGGAAAGCGATAAATTTGAACAATTAAGAGTTCAAACATGAATTGTGACATTTTACTATCGTAGAATGATATGAAAGAGAAGACAATGTCAAGAAAATTTTTTATGATTCCTATTCTAATAATCACGATTCCTCTGAATTTAAAGTTTCAGCTTATTTTATTGAGTCTTTCTTTTGAAAAGTTCAGAAATATGAACTGAAACCTTCAGAAAACAGCAGTAGATAAAAGTTTTAATTCTCTAATGCACGAAAACCGAAACCGGCTGCAAAGCTCTATATGCCACAAGATAGAGCGTTCGATGCTCTACAAAACCTACTAGACCACAATTCACCCAAATTCGGAAGAGGCTTTTTATTAGGAGAGAAAGTTTGTGTTGCAGTGAAATTACTATAGTCCCATTAAAAATTGTTCGCAAAAAATGGAAACATTTTGAATCATATATGGTTCGATAGAGCTAAGCATGGGCTATCAGAATCTGTATAGAATGTTCAATTTAGGTCTTAAAATAAAGGGAAAAATAATCTCGTAAAATTCAGAACTTTTCACTTTAAACATGATTTTCCAGAATTTTTAAAAAATGTATATTGCTAATTTCACCCCTAATCCAGAATCAAACCTTTAACAATTTATTACCAAAATGATCAGCTCATCGAGCTCTACAAACCCTGAAAATTTCAGCCAATTCTGAGAAAGTCGATGTAAACGTGGTACGTTTCCCATGGATTCACCCACTCTTATCTTAATTACAGACAATGAACAACTGGTATGTGTAGGGACATGTTGTTTTTCTTCATCCTCGTTCTTGTCGTTACACATACGAGAAGAACGTTCATTTTCTTTTGGGGTGTGGGTGTGAGGGTGTGGGTGCGAGGGTGTGGGTGTGGGTGCGGGTGTGGGTGTTTTCTCTAAATTACACGTACACCTACACCACCCATCCACACCCACCCTCGTTCCAGTTTGTTTTCTCCAGAAATCGCTTCATAAGTGTATTGACTTCCGTGACAAATTGTCTATTTATCATTTTTTTTTCTCTTTCCCTTTCTATGTTTAATTGTTTATATGAAGAATATTGAGAAAAGTGATATAGATAAAACGAAGGAGTTCTGAAACATAACTCAAAATTATTTGTCACACAACAGATGTTCACTCCAATAACTAATAGCTGCCACAAGAAGATTAATTAAGATATTTTTATTTATTAGGTACAATAAAAAAAATTAACGAATATAAGAGCAATTAATGTTTTCTTTTACGTTATCTTGCTGTGATGTTGAATCCTTTTCACGCGCTTGCCGATTCTTTTGACATACATGATAAGCATTAACTAAATGCTCCCAATGGAGAACCGCATTGTTCTCGTCTTCTACACTGTATGGTTGAAGATCAAGGATTGTATCCTAAAACAACGAACATATGATACAAGAAATAATTGAATATTATGACAAACTACAATACAATCTAATCTTCGTACGTGCACGTATCTATATCTATATCTATATCCTTGACAGAGAGAGAGGAGGAAAGGCAATCAAGGGTATCAATTATGAGAGAAGAAAAGAGTCACATACATAGAGAGTGACCAATCATTACAAGGTTGATTACACGAATAAGATAAGGAGGAGGATGTTAAATTTCATTACAAATGATTGGAAGTACTCACTGTAAAAGTTTGTCGGATGGCCTCAATGTTGGCTAACTGCACGATTTGAGATAGGTCAGCACCAGAAAAGTTCTCAGTGGCATCGACGATTCGTTGCAAGTTGGTCGCCGAAACATTCGAAGTCACCACTCCATTCTTTCGTTGCTCACTGAGATGAAAATTAAAGATGTCCCATCGATCTTGTGCATTGGGCAAATCTATTTAAAAAGACAAGTTACACATTCATTATATTGATAACATCATTCGAAACTTACCAATTTTTATTTGTAATTCAAATCGACCCGGACGAAGTAATGCTGGGTCAATCATATCCAATCGATTGGTTGTGCCTAAATTAGAAAATATTCAGCTCTTTTCTATCAAATTTAGTAATTGCCTTACCGAAAATGATAATATTATTCAATGCAGTGTATCCGTCCATTAGCGGCAATATTTGATTGACGACACTATTACGTGTTTCTGATCCACCTTCCTACAAAAAATTTATTGAATGTTATGTTCAAACAGTTGGTCTCCCGTAGAGCGCATAATTTGATTTTATCAAAACTTACACTTGATGTTCGCTTTGAAAAAAGACCGTCCATTTCGTCGAAGACAATCACGTGGAGTGGACTTGAATCTCCTTTCTAAATAGGTAGAAAGAAGAAACAAATATTGTAAAGAATTGGTTATAATTTCGTGATGGATATCAATAACTTACTTCTTGTTGATCTTTCTTGGCACGTTGAAAAAGCAGTCGGACTGCTTGTTCGGATTTGCCGATAAATGAATTCAAAAGTTGTGGACCATTAATGATACGTGGTTTGAGACCGAAATAATCACATAGTGCTCTAATAATAAAACGATATGCTTGTTAAAGAGAAAAAATGAATTAATTTGAATAACATACTTCACAAGACTCGTTTTTCCTGTACCAGGTGGACCCCATAAAACAATACCACGAATAAATCGAATATCTGTAAAATTATACAACAGATATGAATTAGTATAATAAAAAAATACTACTCACTAAATTTTCGCCGAAATTCTGTCGACAGTTTGCGTGGTCTGAAAACACATTCGATGATTTGTTCAATTGCTGATGAATAACCAGCAATCTTCATTTTTGAAAATTCGACAACTGGCTTCCTTTGAGCTGCAATTGATGATGTTACTCCTTCTACATGATATTTATGTTTCTGATGGAGATGATAGATGCGACTCTATAAAACATAACAGGAAAAGTAATCGAATTGTAATCCAATCAAGCATCTTCGCCGTGTTAGAAGAAGATAATTGATGATTTTCTTACCTCTATGTTCGAGATAATAATATTGTTCTTCGGAATACTCGAATTCTTAACCAATTTAAATCGGTAACGATTGCCATTCGACTTAGTAATAATAATTTCTCTGAAAGCACAACGTTAATATTATGATTTTAATTGTGTCTTTTTGTTTTTATTTTATCAGGCTCTTTCTTCTTCTCTTTCCTTCATTTCTAATAATCTATATTTTCTTTTCATCTTGTATTCATTTCGTTTAATCAGCATAGCACTATTCAAAAAATGAGAAATGTGTCCATTCAACTACTCATTGCTCTTTTTCTTTATTCTTCAAACAACCCACATAGATCGATGACTCGAAATATAAGAAAAAAAATTCATCATCAAAACAAGCCCTTCGAAATGCGCTGCGATTTTAGAAAAAAATAAGAACGTACACTATACACGATTACTTACGAGAAAGGCCGTAATTCCTCAACTGCCGAATTAACAAAAACAGTATTTTCAACACCAGCCATAGGTGTTGTAATGACTTTGAGAATAACCATATTGATTCTTTACGTGTACAGAAAATGAGAGTGTACTAAGAAAAATTGGGTAATATTTATACTGCTATGAATGAATGAGAATAGATTTATTGATGGAAATCACGCTAAACAAAGCTTCTTAATAATAATCCACTTAACACTTAAAAGCTATCACTCTCATCTAAGCTTCTTTGATAATTATGGGAAATGAAATTTTCAATCACCGATACAAATCATATTTTAGCACGTTCTGCTTTCTAATGGAATAGCTTAACATTCATCCGATAGGTGATATATATGCGATAGAATCTTTTATCACTAATCGCGTTAAGATATCAGCTTTTACTAATTGGATGAAAATAAGCAAAAAAAATCATCTCATCAAAAATAAACCAATCAGCGGTTGAAAAATGTAAACCACAATAGAGCTGCTGACACTATAAAAGAGAAGACTCACTAGCATATATTTCATTTTATCAATTACTACTGTCTGTCAATCAACGTCAAGAATAAAAACTATCTATCTTCATACATTACAGTGAGTGTAATATTTTTTTGTTTCAAAACACTATGAAAGAAAAGACATATTTTATTATTCAAATAATTCAATTCCTTGAGATGTTATTTAAGCTCTATCTCACAGAAAAAGTATTTTTACTATTCCAATAATTTGTATTGTTGACTTACATTGCATAATTTTTTTAGCAGTAGCTTGTATGATGAAATATTTATTTGATTAAAAAATAGAAAATAACAAAAAAATTATAAATATTGTAGACATGTTTCACTATGTGCATAGCATCTTCAAAACAAACAAAAGAAAAAAAAAATATTTGCATACATATATATGAATATATGTGTGGGTTGACAAACAGCTGATCAACATATGTTACAATCAGATGAAAAAAGACAATATGTTAGTATCCTGCGTGACCATTTCATTGTGACCAAAGAAAACAAAGATTATCCTATAATAGTTTTCATGATGGATGCGAAAAAATAATTCTACTTGACATTTTGTGTTCAAAATTTTTAGCTCTTCAAAATGACATATAAAAGTCGAAAATACAATGATCTACAACAGAGAAAACTTTGGCACATTCATCTTGATCAGAAAGTTTCGTGACTGACCGTGACCAAAACTGATCATGATTAATATGTTACAGTTTTCTCTGCCGTAGATCATTGTACCCTCGACTTTTATATGTCATTTTGAAGAGCTAAAAACTTTGAACACAAAATGCCAAGCAGAATTATTTTTTTCACATCCATCATGAAAATTATTATCAAAAAATTTTGTCTTCTTTGGTTATGAGGAAATGATCAAGCAGGACACTCCAAAATGTCTAATTCTTGGCATTTTCTCTCATACGATAGAGCCATATGAATGAGATACTCTCCCTTTCTTTGTCTCATCTATAACATATGTAAATCAGGTACTTATCCACCTACATATATATGTATACATATACATATTTTTTTCTTTTTTCATCTTCAAAAAGATATAGGCATACCGAAACATACACGTAATATTGATAATTTTTCGTTATTTTCTTATTCATTACATGAATATGTATTTGATAATACAAGTAGTTGTTCCACAGATCTTGCAATCAGTTCGTTAAACTAAGCTTGTTGAACCAAAACAGATATCGCTGAATTCTTTTCTGCATTGCTTCTATGTTGACAAGTGAATGTTTTTACTTTCGCTCATTAAACTGATTCAATTTTTTCTGAGATGTATACGCAAAGGGAAGATCTTCACATCTTATTTCCACAATAGATAACATCCGATTTCTGATGAGTGTCCATGTCGCAGAAAAGATATATTCATAGTACGTCAATCATGATCTCATTGAAATTTTTTTCTGTGACCTGTGCCCAACAAACAAATCAGCCCATAGAAGGCACATGATTGATTTTCCTGTGCTCTAGATTCTAGAAAAAAATCTACTCATCGATTAGTAGAATTTATTCGGTTCACTTTTACAGTTAACATCTATTCCATCCCTAGAAACCTAGCTAAATCGGTATCACCGGAAGTTAGTTGAATATTTCGGTCGAATTGAATCTTGAAGTCAACAATATAGTCAAATTTCAGATAAGATTTGATTGACGTTTTTTATTTCCGTGTTCCATTTTGCAGAAAAAAATTTAGTCATTTAACAGCAGAACTTATTTGATTGAATTGTTTAATTCAGATCTATTTAATCAAAAAAAAAAAAAATTGCTATATTAATATGAGGTTCGTTTGAGGAAACTTTTTTGTCTCAGTTGAATCATGAAGTCAGCGATGCAGTCAAATAAATTTCAGAAAAGATTTGATTGACTTTTTTTATTTCTCTGTTCTATATTGCAGAAAAAAGATTTAATGATGAAACAGAAAAATTTGTTCGATTGATTTGTTTAGTTCAGATCTATTTAGTCAGAAAAAATAATAGCTGTATCAGAGCAAGGATTATTTGAGTAGACTATTTTGTCTGAGTTCGATCTTCAAGGCAACGGTACACTCATATGATTTTCAGTAGAGAAACCGACGCAAGTTTTTGTGCGAGTTGAGTGTTGAGGAAAAAGAGATATTCATAATAATAACAAGTAATGACCAATTATTTTTATTGGTGAGTTTTTTCTATATTCCGGGAAAAATTTAGTTACAAAGTAGCAGAATATATGGGGGTGGTCAATTTGAATGGTACCCCAAGATTCAGGATAGGAAATTATACTATTTCAAGGAAGAGTATATAATGAATTTTATACCAAATGAAAGCTGGTCAAAAATGAGATTTAATAGTACTAAATAGTAAGGAGTTTGTGAACATTGTAATGTCGAACTTAAGAAATTTCCAAAATTTCATACATTTTTTGGCATAGAAAACTAAGATGCCAGTAATTCAAAAGTGGAAAAAAATTTTTTTTTCTTGAATATTTTTACATCATTTTTTAAGGTAAAAAAATTGAAAAAATGCTTGGAAAATTTTTAAAAAAATATTAAAAACCTCACATTTTCTATATGGAAGAAAACACGAAACTTTTCCAGAAAGTTACCTCTTTTTCATTATTTTTACCACATCACAACTTTCAAAATACACTTATTCGATTCAGTTTTTCACGGCACGTCTATCGAATATATTTCGAAACATGTGAGGTGGTAAAAATAATGAAAAAGAGATAACTTTCTGGACACGTTTCGCGTTTTCTTCCATACAGAAAATGTGAGGTTTTTAATATTTTTAAAAAATTTCCCAAGCAGTTTTTTCAATTTTTTTTATCTTAAAAAATGATGTAAAAATACTTCAATACACACAGTTTTATAGAGCTCGACGGGCTCTATCAAATCATGTAAAAATCTTCAAGAAAAAAAATTTTATTCCACTTTTGAATTACTGGCATCTTAGTTTTCTATGCCAAAAAATGTATGAAATTTTGGAAATTTCTTAAGTTCGACATTACAATGTTCAAAAACCCCTTACTGTTTAGTACTATTAAATCTCATTTTTGACCAGCTTTCGTTTGATATAAAATTCATTATATACTCTTCCTTGAAATAGTATAATTTCCTATCCTGAATCTTGGGGTACCATTCAAATTGACCACCCCCATATATGATCTAACTTTTAGATCAGACATATGTCATGGGAAGAAATGTAACTGCTATAGTTTGAGATTGATTCTATTAAACTTTGTTATTTGAGTTGAATCTTAACGAGAAAGATGTGCTTATATCAATCGGAGAATGGGTTCGATCGAATCCTTTTTTTTCTTTTTGGTATGTTGGTAAGAAAAACTCGCTTATTGAGTTTGAACGATCGATTTCATTCCATTTACGGTACTTTTATATTTCGTACAAAAAAGTGGATGCATATCGATTCAGGGATTCATTTCATTGAAGTTTTTATTCCTGACTCTGTATTCAAGAAAGAAAATTGGTCTAGAATTTTCAAGATTTGATTTTCTTGAATCCTTGGGTATGATGTCATCAAAAAAAAACGGACTTGTATCACTTTCAGGGCTCAGTTCGTTACGATTCCGACTGTTAGAACTACTTTTGACAGGAAAAGTTACTCATAAAATTGGAAGACTTTATTTTGTTTGATTACTGAGTCTCATTTATTAGATAGGAAAACATCGAGTCGCGTCATTCTTAGATCTATGCGATTGAACTCTTTTCAGTAGCTCGAGGTTTCATACTGAATGCTACTCACTAGACTTCACGAATTGGTCAGGCTCAGTTTTGTATTGACATCTATTTCAGAGAAAAAAAATCCACTATTGCCACTTGCTGAACTTCGTTGCTTCAACTTTTCTCTCCCTGTTCAATGTTCAAGTGAAATCTCGTCATCAATATTCCATCCAGACTTTCTTTCAGCTCTTCGTTCACATGAGTGTTAAGAAAAAAATCTCTTCGGCCCACTGCAAAAGACAAGCCAAAATAAAAAGACATAATTTCAGCATTTTTCACAGAATGTATTGTAGAGTAAAGATCAGTTAGAGCAAAATAAATTTTTCGTGCTCAGTGTAATCAGATTGAAGTGAAACGAGAAATGTAGTAGATTCATATTCATATGACATGAACATATCTTTCTTGTTTTCTTTCATTCTGTTGCACGACGACATATACGAGCTATTCCTGTGATGGATAACAAGAATCAGATAGAAGGAAAAAGAACGAGTAATTAAGTGATTGATTGTTATTTTTTTCATTCCTGTTCATATTTGCGGCTATTGAATTCATATCATTCTCGTCTACTTTTCCTCTTTTCCTGCGACATTGTACAGTCGACTGAAAGAATCAGTAGCATGTCATCCGTCAATTGACATCAATCAATCGATGTTAATTTGATTAAAAGAGTGAAAAAATACTTTTTTTATGACTTCAAGTGAACTTTCTGTTGAGTGTTCCATAAGATTTCTGCCGAGTTAAAAATTCATTTCTTCTAATTCTGATAGTTAATTGCATTTAATAATGCACAGAAGTATTTTGGCAATAAAAGATATTTTTATAAACAAACAATTTGAATGCTATTTTGTTGCTATTCACCATGTAGAGTTACAACGTCAAAAATGTTGTTACGATCACATACACGTACTCAACAATGCAATACCATTACAATAAAGCATTCTGCTCAGAAACGACTAATACGGAAACGAGTTATAAGAGGTGAATCTTTATGAATATAAAACGTAGTAATTTAATGTTACCATAAATTTGTTATTTTAGGACAAATGGAAATTGAAGTTGAAGAAGAAGAAGTGGTACAAGAGGAGGAACAAATAGATCAACTTCAGAAGACAGAAGAAGAAGAAGAAGAAGAAGAAGAAGAAGAAGAAAAGGAGGAGGAAGAAGCAGAAGAGGACGAAGAAGAAGAAGAAGAAGAAGAAGAAGAAGAAGAAGAAGAAGAAGAAGAAG